TTTGCAACAAATCGTAATGCAACACAAAGCATCTGCTCGGATGTAAGCGCACGGCCACGATGGGTGATGTGTCTGATGTATGGGTGGATAAGGTTATTGATATATGTTATGGACTCTCTAGAAAAACGGTACCGCTCAAATAAAAATACATGGGGATATGACAAAAAATCAACTCGTGGCCTCAATATCCTCTCCCGACGTAAATGCAATTCCCTGCGAATTAATACAGCGTCCTCATCTACAGGATCCTCTATGAATGGACACGCCATTTTGGTCTCTGCGTGACGGAAACGTGTGCAATCTATGAATGTACTGAAAGATTAAATGAGGTATTAAACACCTTTCACTTTAAAAAGGGGCGGAGACCCGGAGGAAACTCCGAGTTTCCCGAACAAAACCTGCTCCCAAGCAGGTTAGGTTCACAGAGTAAGTTGCCATAGTAACTGACTCTGAGTTTAGATTACCTCTCTTTGTGAAACGGGTTTAACTTACCCCGCCTTCACGGGGTAAGTTAAACCCGTTTCACCCGTGGTATTGAATTCGTTTCCCGAGGTATTAAGTTACCTCCGTTTCTGAAACCGAAAACTCAGAGTTTCCCTCATTTCGGGGTTAACAAACTCTGAGTTTCGACAAAACCGCCTTCTTGAAATAGGCCCCTGGAATGTTGATTTGTTTTTGTTTCCACTTCTTTCATTTGCTCTGACCTTGTTCAAACATGTCCAAAGTCACATACACAGTCACTGGTGCTGTCTTTTCTAGCTGTTTTACTGGTACACACTTACACTGTTTAGCAGGAGTTTCCACAGAACCCTGACTTCGATAGGGGGTGAATGAGCTGTTTCCTGAGGAAAGCAGAGATGTGGATTCTCCAGGACAACACAGATGCTGCGTCTCTACAAGTTCAACTGGCTTTTCATCCTCCGCGTCTAGTGAGAGATGTATGACTGGGTCAGTGTGTTCCTCTGCCTGGTCACTGGCTTGGTTACCATTACAATCTGTAGCTAGTGCAGAGGTGGGTGCTCTCTGAGGTTCCACTGTATAAACCTGGTCATAGATGCTCTTGGGTGGATTACTGAATGGCTGGAAATGGCACATCCCCTGTAAGCATATCCACATAGACACATAAAAAGGAACAACAGGTGTTATGTTTTATCTGGTTACTGAGGAGACATCAGGGCTATAGCAACCTTTGACATTGAAATCCTTTTCAGGATTCTTTATTAAAATGATTCATTTTTTCATAACAAACAAAAAAAATATTTAAGCATAACAAAGAGAGAGGCAATTTAATATTTTCTTCAATCATCAAAAATAACCTAGAATTTCATGGTCTCACTCCCTCAGCCAGTTTAACATGGGTGTAATGTTACTTCTTGACTCTACCTTTTGATAACTCGGTGATGACCACAGCGCCACAGAACTGTGGCCTGGGTTTGGTACTGGCTTCTCCCTGAATTTCTTCCACCTTAAAAGAAGATTTTTAGCACCGTTAACAAACATTAAACAAAATTTTGTGGTTGTAAGTGTAAAAATTAATCACAGTGTGACAACTAAATTGTACTGTATTACAGCTGACAGTAAAGGAATGAAACTTACTGAATAGCACAACATAATCCAAGTGATAAAACAAGAAATATAATGATGCTTCCACCGACACCAAGTGCCATCGAGAGCCTCGGATCTACCAAAGAAATAATAAATAATGCTGAAGTCACTTTTTGAACACATGAGGTCTGTCATTGCATAAAACACCTTTATCTCACTGAATGTGAGATTTGGTTAAAATTTGCATGCTATATTTGGCTACCATTTGAATTGTTGTGAGCAAAACTCTGACATATAGGAGTATCAGTAGCCCAAACACAATGGTTGTGCATTGTACCCCTAGATCTATGACCACAGGCATTCATGCTCGAAAAACTAATGATAAATTCTTCTAATAGTTCAAATTCACAAATGTAAAAACTGCAACTTTTTGTATCCATGAGGGGCATTTACTAGCCACTTACCATATCTTTTGGTTTTAAAGAGCCTCTCACTGCTTTTGCTGGTTCCAGTAAGAGCTGTGGCCTTGACGTAGACGCTGTATTGGGTGTCTGGGTCCAGATCCTTCAAACACAAGTCCTGCTTGGTGTAATCTACAGTAACATCTAGAAGAAAACCATCACAGAAATATCAAAGATGCATTGTTAGAGGGAATAAATATCTTGACCCTGTGTGCAAACTCCAAAGAAGCGTGATGTAGGCTTACTGAGCGTCGGCCCTTTCTGTGTGCCGTAGAAGACTGTGTAGTTGATAACAGCACCGCTGCATTCTTCCTGTGACCTGGTACTCCAGCTCAAAATGGCACTTTTGTCTTTAGCTTCAACACTGATGATAGTGACATTTCCTGGATCTGTATGAATAACATTTTCAAATGACTTAAAATAATGAAAAAAAAAACCCTTACTTTTTCAGAATTGTTAAAACAAGAAGGTCGTACTTCCTACTCTGGAGCAGATCTGAAGGGCCTGTGTGCCATGGCCAGTCTTGTCACCAAACAGGGGAGTTACTGTGATATTGTATGGCTTCTTATCCAGGAGGTCTGTAAGAAAGACCGTTGGTTAAGTAGTTTAGTCTAGCATTTCTAACCCTAGGATTCAGAGATGTCTTGAGCTGGTATGGTTTGCCCTGTGAAAACAGTGCCAGGAAGAGCTGTTCTGAAACTCGGAAAAGAGACTGCTGAATCTCTGAAAGGAGTGTGCCATACAAATAAAGCTGCCTTGCCTCATTTATAAATGAAAATAACCAAGTACAGCTGACATGAACTGAATGTACTTACTTTCCATCACTGTTCCTCAGCTTGATTAAAGAGAGCCAAGCAGGAAATGGACTATATAGCATATCTCATCTCTGTGGGTCAGTTCTCAAACACCCCTTTCTAGCTAATGCATTACAGAAAATCTTTTAATGTCTGTTTCCACCAGTGTCCATTATTTGCCACACCCAGCCAATGAAAGATAAGCCACAAATTGATCTGGTGGTCTAACAGCTTAAGTCATAAGTCAGTGATGGGTTTGATAATGACACATGTATTTATGTGAACTCCCATCAAGTTCTTAGCATCCATCTTTCTATCCGACATCTATCCACCATGTCTGTTGTCTGACTCACCTAACAGTCTTGTGTTTGTGTATTTACTCTCCTTCCAATAATACTGGTTTCCGTTGTGGGTCCAGTCAATCATGTAGCCGCTGACGGGCTGAAGAGGAGCTTTCCAGCTGACCAGAATAACACCTTTAAGGTTTGAGGTCTGGAGGTCAGTAACTTTCAAGAGGCCTGTCAAGTGAAATCAAGTGAACAGAAGGTAACAGCTTGATACCAAATCGCTGACATCATCAGGTCAAACCACTGCTCCATTAAAATGAAGTGATATGATCCATGAATTGCGGTTACCCATTACAAAAGCTAAATCGATAGCATTAAGACTCACTCTCTACAGTGGCTGGAACATAAACAGAGTCCTCTGTGAGCAGGATTTCACCATGGAACACTGTGAGATTTATTCTGTGTGCATCTTGGTTCACATCGATGTCACAAGGTGAACTGTAACATAGACTTCCTGTAGAATTAGCTCCTGTCATGTAATTCTTGTAGGGGGTCTGTTGGATAGTGTACGTAAATGTACCTTGGCATGTTGAAGGAATCTCCTGTGTAGACAGTTTGCAACACTTAAGATCAAGAAGTAATATATGGAGCATGTTTCTTACAAAGCCAAGGTTGAAATATGGAATGATGTTTGGAAATGAAGGACGTGAATTTCAAAAATATGTAAAAACAGCAATGAGAGGCTTCCTTACCGTCCACATGATGTGTACATTTCTAATAGCATTTTTCTTCGGTTCAGCTACCTTCCTCCACAGGTGCAACTTGACATCACTCTCTGTTAAAATATTTCCAAAACAGTCACACTGGAATACACATACAGGAGTATGATAATAGACCTCGACAACTTTGGCCTTGACCACAATCAACTGTGGGATGATATTGCTGTTAGTCATTGTTTGGTAAGTAAGAAATCCCTACCCTTAAACTACAAACCCTCAGCTAAACCTACAATTACAATACGTGCCACATCAAATGTGTCAGATTTAAGAAGTTCAAGATGAGCTTTAATTCCCATCAAAGGCAGCAATAATGTTCTGAATTAAACAAAAAGAAGTCAATATTTCATTGTGTTTAATGAATTTAATCAACATCACATTACAGTTTGATTTGGTTATTCTCAGATAAATACAGCTCCAGAATCTGGAGAGTAGCATGTAGTGTTGAACAAAGGCTGTTCTTACTGTTTAGTTTGGTCAGAACGGTCGTCTCCCGGCTCCAGTCACTCCACGGGGCCTTGTCTAATGCACAACGCACTAAAATGTTGTAGTGTGTGCATGATTCCACACTTTGAATTGTGTATTCCCCTTTCTGTGAAGGGTCTAGAGTTGTACTTTGCACATTCTAGGAATAAAGAAAGAACTTATTTTAGTTAGAAACTTTTTTCTAGGAAAGCCCCAGAAGATTCAAAACTGAAGATGTTATTTTATACAACTACAGCGATTCTGTTAATGTTTTTGTAGTCTGAGAAAATTGTTTTCTTCTGGGATCAGTTTAGGGCTGAGCAAGCTGGACAGTTATACTAGTTATACGAGGCTAATGAGCAGCTAATGCTGTATTCATCATGGCACATAACGGTTATTAGAATCACCAGTTTTAAGCTTGTAAACAGCGTGCAAGTCAACGATCATATGACCAACTTGGTGGTTATACCTAAGAGCCACACAAACATGAATTCCCTTATAAATGTGTCTCTTACCTCTGGAGTTCGATCGCTGACAGCCTGGAACAGAAAGGGGACAGAAATGGTTTCCATCAGCCAACAACAACAATCTTTTCACTGAAACGTGAGTACACAGTGAGAGTCAGGACACAGCCATCGAGCTGGACAGGCTCAGCTGTTACCTCTGACAGATGTAGAAGCTAATTTGGGGCATTTTTCTGATATGACTGCATACAGTATATGTCTTTACCTTGCCATATTTGACCTGACAGTGGCATGTTCTTGTTGAGGGTGACCGAGTCCACTCAACCAACAGATGATCAGGGAAGGCGGTTACTGTTACCTCTGGACGAATCATTTGCACTGAGGGAACAATTATGATGGTACGTCAAAATGCAGAACCGTACAATGTTAAAATACTTTGATATCATTAGGAAATCTACACTCACTGGCTGGCCACTTTATTAAGCCCACTTGTACAATTGTATGTATGCAATTCAATGCTGCAGTGTTTTACTGGTCTACATTATATTCAGAGGTGTTCCTAATATTCTGATCCTCTCATGCATGTAGCTGGGGAAGACAAAAATATAGAGACACTTCTGAATATAATGTAGTCCGGTGCTTTAACTATGACCTGAATAATAAACATATAATTGAGTTTATACTTTTATGACAATTTCACCAAAAGCGGAAACATTTTTAGCTTCATAAACAAACAGTACTACAGGTATTAAGGTGGAAGTGTTACACTCAATTGCCAGTGAGTGTATATGTTTTCACAAACCTTGAATTATGTTACTTACATATATCATAGTGGTCAAATTCATAAGGATTGGAATAAGCTTCCCAGGCAGTGGCTTTAGCTCTCACAATAACACTAGCATTTCCAAAGAAATGTACTTTATCAGATAAATCGATATCTTTGGATGTGCATGTAGTCACATAGGAGCTGCAGATTTCAGTATAGGAAGGGCGTAACAAAGAGGCACTGAAAGAAAAATATGTTTCATATTAAGTACATAAATCAATGAGAAAAAAACATTCCTACAATAATTCTTACATAAACAACAGAAAATCTGAAACTCACTACAGTACAGTGTAGTGTATTTTCAGTGAAGAATTCATCTGATGCTCCCATTTGCATGTGAACAGGTGTGGTACAACATCCACATGCTGATTTTTATAATGGAAAAAGCAGGATAATTTGCTGGGTTTTGCTGCGGGGAAAATGCAAAGCAAAAAGGTAAAGTCAGCGATGTTCCTTTTATTCCAGGCATCCAGAGTCGTATTAGAATCCAAGTATCAAAAGTACGTCTTACTGTATGTTCTGATGGTGGTGCCTCCGAGGATTTGCTGAGTATTTGCACTGTGGCACTGCAATGTAGCATTGTGATGAGTGAAAGTCCTCAGTGACAGGACTGTGAGTGAGGAGTTGATAACGTTTGACAGGCTTTCATCAATGGGTCTGCTGTTCAGTGTCCAGAAGATTTTGCCACTGGCACACGAAGTCTGGCACAGTACCTCGATATCTGATCCCATTTCAATGTACAGATCTTTAGGGATAACGTTGCAGAGGTTTGCATGCTGGCCTGCAGGACATGATAATGTTATTCAACATCTCTAAATGTAAATGAAATTCTACAATTTTTCATAAAGATGTAACAAATTAAGGCATAGTTTGACATTTTAGGGAAAAGGCTTGTCAAGACTACAGTAGATGAGAAGACTGACACTCATGTCTGCAGCAAATATGCAGATGGAGCCAGCAAGTTAGATTAGTTTACCATCAAGTCTGGAAAAAGGATGAAACAATTAGCCTGGTTATGTCCAGCAGTAACAAAATCTGCCAACATGCATTTCTGAAGCTCACTAGCTGTATCTCACGTGGAAATCGCATATCAGAGTGGCCACAGTGGCCAGAGGCATTATGTTTTCCATCCATCCATATGATTCTTGTGAACACGATATCTCAGGAACGCCTTGAGATAATATCAGATCCTCCTTGCAGATCTGATATTATCAGCATATGAAACATAATCCTCGCTTTATGGCTTGTAACTTCAATAGCAAAGCATACAGACATCAGCACTGCCCGTTCTCACACTGGTTTTCTAAACCAGAACCACTGATTATCTAAACCAGAACCACTGATTAAACCACTGCAAAATGGCAAAAATTTTAAACTCTCCATGTGCATTTTAATTAAACAAGCAGATAGTGGTTGGTCACTGACCTTAGTGACTTAACACTTCCTGTTGCTGCTTCACAAAAAGTGGAAAGATGCTACAGGAAGACCACATTTCCTTTTAGAACACATTAGTACCACATGAGACTTTGTTATAGTTCTGACACCACTAAGAGCCCATTAGAAAACCACGAAGGTTCCAACATAACACGAATATACAGTAGGCTCCAAACAATAGATATTCTTACACTACGCAGGAGATGTATCATTACATTCAGTCATGGAGCTAAGTATTATTTTATCTGGAAAATAAATACCCAGCCCGGGATTTGATTTGATTTGATTTGATTTATTCTTTCAAGCATGTAAAAAACAGTTGATATGACAACACATAATTTTACACATAATCCAATATCAATTTGCTTATACCTAGTACATGCTTGAATGGAGTAGGAAGAAGTCAGACTTATCCAGTCCTACCCCATGACATCATCTTACCATCATTGGTTTGCAAGCAGTAAATGATTCACTTCTACACTACACAAGGATTATACTAAAAAAAATTATAACAGTGTT